ATTTCTTTTACTTTTTTCTTTACGTTGAATCGTTGAAACGTTGAAACGTTGTCTCTATAAAATCTTTTATGAGTTGCTACTATCATCGTCATCGTCATCGTCACCGTCGTCATGTTTCTCTCCTCTCGGGGGACATTACTTAACATCAGCCAAAAAGCTGCAATGTTTATTTTCTCTTTCGTACTCGCGTAAACGTCACTCGGATCGATTTACGCCGGCAACCGAGTGCATTTTTATGCTGCGCTTCCTTTCACGAGTTTCGAAAGACACATCTCTTCCATTTATATATATATATCAAATATAAGTATAAAATATTATATCATAAATATAAATGTAATGATGTATAATATAAAACAAACAAACAAAAAAAAATTAGAAAATAACGTAGTAGTATCATTAAATCGTACATTAAAAAGTTTTAAGCTAGATTACAAATGATGAGATCTGAAATATGTGAAAGATCAAAAACATGAAAGAAAGAAAGAAAAAATGAAAAGAAAAGAAAAGACAATGCATCTTTCTTAAAGTTTTCGAGAACGAATACATTCTTACGGAATATATCTTGCATGTATTATAATATATATATATATTTATGAAACAATGTTAGACGAGATTTCGTACTTACACATATGTAAGTATATGCGACAATAATTCAACGACAATTTCGACGACGTATTCAGTATTTCGTGAAAATTTTCTAAGATATTCACCATTGTGTTATACACGTTTTACTTGAAATACTCAGAAATATGCATTACTCTCTATCTAACAAACGTTTGAATAATACTATAACAATATATATATGTATATAGTAGTGTAGAAGTACATTTGCATACATTTGTAAATGAGTACAGTATACTTTCGAGTAACTGGAAACCAACCTTCGTTTCCGTGAATTCCGTGAATTTTCGAATTTTCCTTCAAAATGGGAAAAAAAAAATTTTTCATAGGAAAAATATTCCATGGAAACGTGACTTCTTTTAAGAAATCAATTTCCATTGTCGTTTTCGATTAACCACCACGTAATGGTTTATATGCATAGCATTGAAGAATAATGAAGTTCAGGAAAGAACTTAGCTTATGTTTATTACTATTTTCAAGTATTTTGTATGAATTCTTTTTCGAGCCAATCCTCTCCTCTATTCCTTTTTTCTATGATTTTTTTTTTTCCATTCCAACACAAACCATGAAGTAGTAGGTGTTCTCTTGAATCTAATATCAGAAAGAGAGAGAGATAGGGAACAAAATAAATAAAAGGAATTTTTCATTCTTATTCTTCTTAATTTTCTCTCTAAACCTTGTGTAAACTCTGGGCACCCGAAAATCAACACGATTTTTAAATATTCATTTAATAAAAGTCATTAAGTAGTTTGCACAAGTTAAAAGAAAACGTTCCTCTTGCACGGACATTAATTTTTCTTTCTATTTTTGGTTTTCCTTTCTTTTCCAGAAAGAAATTTTAAACGAAAAAAAAAAAAAAACATATTTTTTAATTTCGAAACATAAATATATACTTAACAATTAGAATATTATTATTATTATTTATCAATAGAGTTTAGTCTTGATTTTCTCTCTCTCTCTCTCTCTCTCTTTCTCTTGTGATCGATACCATATATTGTTAGAAAAAGAAGAAAAATGTAGAAAAAAGCAAAATAGAAACGAGCCGCGGAATTTGCGACGCATCTTTTCCTGCTTTTTTCAAAAGCAATAAGAGCAATTCTATTTGAAAAATCGAAACACGTTAAATTTTTTTGCGAGTTTCAGCTGACACGGCAAGTTTCACGTTCAACGATTTTTCTGCATTTAATATATATATATAAAAAAGATAGATTTATTATTTAAAAAGCCGAGATAGAAATTCAATTTTCTTCGTGTATAAAAATTCTAAAATCCTTCATTAGTTTTTTTTTTCTTTCCTCTTCGAATTATTTAACTAGTTTATCCTTTTTTTTCTTTCTTTCTTTTTTTTTTTAATCAAAAAATTTCGAAATAAATAGAAATTCTTCTGAATATTATTAGATTCATCGAATATAAATGAATAAACGTTCTTCGTACGCGCGTACTTCTCTTATATATTTATAAAATTCTTTAGAAAATTAGAGACCCTTTTTTAATATTACAAATATAACGTATAAATTTACACTTGAATATATGTACCTACGCGTATTTCATTCATGCTGTGGTAAATTAAATTTCACAGTTATGAAAGAAGACGAGAGTCAGATAAATTTGAAGAAATTTGTTAGAAAATAAAATATAAAATCAGTGAGCATTCGAATATAATATACACATGCGTTATATAAATACAATATTATACGCATTCGTGTAAACTTATCTACGAACACTATGATGGCATAGTGTTATAAATGGTTATTAATTACGGTTAGTTAATTATTCTTCTCACGTATAATCGTTGACGTGTGTCTCGTATATATCGATAATGGTTTAGTATAGTTATCTTTGATAAAAAGGCATCTACCAAATTAGATAGTGATAGATAAATAAATAGGATAGACAGACAGGAACTCAAGAAATACAAAGGTACAAGTGGATATGGAGATAGAGAGATTACAATTAGGAATACGAAGGAATTAGCCAATAAGAATCCTCCTCGTGAGCCTTAGAACGGATTGCTAGGACATTTCAAGAGAATTAGAGATTGGCATTCAATTAGGATGACTCGTAGCACAACCGATTTGGTATAGTTTGCTTGTATGCATGTGTTTGGGTCTTTCAGTAATTGTATCTCTATCTCTCTCTCTCTCACTCACTCACTCACTCTGTTTCTCTCTGTTTCTCTCTGTTTCACTTACTTCCTCTTACATACTCCTTCATCATTTCGCAAAACGAGAGAAACATACGTTACGTATGTATGCATATACATGTATATAAACATGTTAAATACATAAGAGAAAATGTTCTCTTAACCAAACTACTATTTTCCCACGTAATAATCTGCTTTGTTCGACCACAAATCTTCCTTCACCGTCATTGCTGAATTTCAATTCTAATTCACGCACAGGAAATCTTTAACGCGTAATTTTTCTTTGTCTATCGTTAATTTTTATTTGACATTACTTTTTGCAAGCCGATTTTTCATTAAATACTAATAGTTGATTTATTAAATCCGAAGTTATTTCTATTCTAGATAATTTTGTATAATATTGATTTGGATCGGTAAGATAATTATTGTTAGAATAATTATATATATATTAGGTATATATTTATATAGTATATTTATATTATTTCTTTTCACGTTTGTGTATGTAATAATTTTATATATTATTAAATAAAAACACATTCGCGTTTTTCGTTTCGCGAGAAAGCATTGAAATTATAATAAGCAAATAATATTTAACTCCTATAGGATAAGATTGTTTATAATTTATGGTTGCAAAAGGAAGGATCGTTTGATTCAGAGAAATTATTATAACTAGTCTGCCATGTTTCGAATTTCCAACAACGTATCAACTTTTGTAAACTTAAACTTTAACGATTGACCTCTCTCTCTCTCTCTCTCTCTCTCTCTTTATCTATTCATCTATCTATCTATCTATCTATCTATCTATCTATCTATCTTTCTCTCTCTCTCTCTCTCTCTCTCTCTCTCGCTCTCTTTCTTGCTTTCGAAAATGTAGTTCCAACTCTGAAACATTTCACAAACAAGTTTATGAACACTCATGAACTAGCAAAGCGCGTATAGCTGATACAACATCATGTCCATTAATAGTGCTCAGTTAATTACGTCCCTTGATTTTACCTGTTACCGAAAATGTCTTCAAAGAAAATTCTAAAGTCGTTTCTAGTCAATTTCTTTTTTTGTCTTCAAATTATTTAGATTTAAATAGAATCACCATTATATTAATTAGTAGAATAAATATCGCTACATATTTATCCAAATATTCACACACACACATATTTACGTACAAAAATTATATTCTACGTATATATATATATATATGTAAAAAAATTGCATATATTTCATTAGCAACATTATCAAAATTTTCCCAAAGTACGAAAATTATTTTTTCATCATAATTAAATAAAACATTTCTCGTAAATAGAAATAAATTTGTATAAAACGTATCATCAATCGTGTTGTGTGTTTAATATGTGTATATACGTAAAAAATTCTGTATACGTGTGTGCGTAATTAAAATTCATTTATTTAAATTAATCGAAGAAGAGAAAGAGATTTCTTATCATTTTAAACGTTAAAGAGAGAGAGAGAGAGAGAGAGAGAGAGAGAGAGAGAGAGAGAGAGAGAGAAAGAGTAATCGTTTTTAGCTCGCGTGTCCTATCTCTTTCACATCTTACTCGTAAAATATTCTTTAGTTAAGGGCTGCTTTAAAAGAAAGAGAAAAAAAACCGTGGTATTTATAGGGTAGCTAATTTGTTTCTACAAAAAAAAAAAAAAAGAGAGAAGAGAAGAGGAGAAAAAATATATACATATATATAGAAAACAAAATAAAAAAAACAAAGTGGTCTTCCTATCTGATAAATTTCTTCTTCCTCTTTCCGTTTCGGCATGCGGGAATGCGATGAGATAAAAATATTTATAGAGCGGTCCATTTGTTCCTATCAAATAAAAAAAACAAATAAAACAATGTAAAATATATTTTCACAGGGGCAATTGTGAGTTTACTTTCCTTTTCTTTTTTCTTTTTTTCCCCCCTACAAGAAAGAAAAAAAAAAAAAAAACAAAACGGAAAAAGCGCGTGTTTTATTTATCCGACTAATGTTTTCTCTTCTCTTTTCACACCGTGTATCGTGTAAATACACGCGTGTATTATATGCCTATAAGGAGTTGGCTAATTTATTTCTACGGAAAAATGGGAAGGAAAAAAAAAACATATAGACAAATAAAAAAACATTCATACGAATTGATAATATATATATATATGAAAAAAAAAAAAAAATAAAAGAAAAATGTTGTTTTTAAAAATTATATTCATTTACGATGAATAATTCTTATTTCCTATTTTCTTATTCTGTTACAGTATGCGGAGATATTCACGGACAGTTTTACGATCTGATGAAATTATTCGAGGTGGGTGGACCACCCTCCTCGACGAAGTACCTCTTCCTTGGAGACTACGTCGACAGGGGTTATTTTAGTATCGAGGTGAATACCTTTTTAAGATTATCTCTATATCATATTTTTTTTTTCTTCTTCTCTTCTTTCTTTCATCTAAATATTTATTTTCCTCTTTGTTTTTTATTTTTCACGCAGATTTTTTTCTTCAGATAATATTATTACATACACCGTTATAAATATGCACGTGTGTGTCATTTTTAATTGAACAAGAAAAAAAAAAAAGGAAAAAAAAACAAAACGATCTCAATTTTCAAATTTATCTTTTTTCTTTTTCTTTCTTCTTCTTAGATTAGGCAGATGTATAAATAATATTGTATTACAAAAAGATGACGGTGGCATAGTTACGCGACAATGTCACAGTCATCGATTAATAGTCTCACAACCATATCTGTTGGCGCCAACAAACACTTTCACGCGTATATTACTTCCCGACCGAACGAACAAAGTTTTCTAACAAGCTTGATTTACGTTAGATATTAACCTTGCTTTTTCTATTTCTCCGGAAGAAATTCTTCAAGATTTTCTTATACGAGTAATAGTAGTAGTAGTAGTAGTAGTAGTAATGTAATACGAATATTTGTAGTAGTATTTTGGCATCGGTGTATCAACGCGACAACTTGTCCTACTTGCTACTTGTACAATTAATCTTGTACTGTTTTATCTCTAGTTAATTTATGTTCGAAATGTGAAAAGATTAAAAGATTAAGAAAAAAATAGGATAGATAGATGAAGAAAGAGAGAGAGAGAGAGAGAGAGAGAAAAAAAGAAAAGATATTGGAATGCTCAAATTTTTACGATTCTCAGCGCCCTTATTGAATCTAAATTATGCTATGGTGTTCTGTATCAAATTGTAACAAGTATACTTCACGAAACAACCCAATAATATTTTACATAAGCTACTCAATTGATTATTTTCCACGTGAAATATGAAATATCAATTTAATAAATGTTTATCCTCTTTTATTATCTACTTTTAATTGTATTGTTTCAATCGTATGTAAAATGTATTTGAGAAAATTATTGCGAAATGCTGCTTACTTATCATTTGTAAGTAGTTTAATCACGATTAAAAGCAACGAAAGAAAAAAAAGGAAATAGTTAGAAACAATTGTCCGAGGAATAAATATGGAGAAAGGGATAAAGAGATAAAAATAGAAGAAGAAGAAGAAGAAAAAAAGAAAATAAGAAAAAAAAAAAAATAACATAAACGTTTACTTTCAACTTCCATTTCATTCCCCGTTTTATTTTTATTCCTGCAATAATATGAATTAATTATTGAGATTAAATGAATTAATCGTGTATTGTGTACTTACATACGTAATTTTAATCGTAATTAATATCAATGTTAGCGAAAGATAAGACAAATGTCCGGTGAATAAAGTGAACAAGAGATAAAGGTAGAAAAAAAGATAGAAAGAGAGAGATGGAATCTTTGAGACTACTCCTCCTCCTCCTCCTCCTCCTCCTTCTCCTCCTTACGGGACACTTAATTATCGGCTTCTCTAATTAGCCTTCCACTCGACTAATTACCAATTATCCACCTCTCTTATGTACCTTGCTAAAAGTTACCAGTAAAGAGAGAAAGAAATAACGATAGTCGTTGTTCTTATGGGAGAAAAGAAAAGAAAAAAAGAATACCGGTCTCTCATTGTCTTTGTACGATTTTTTAATCTCCCACTTTTCATATTCCTCTTCTCACCTCATCTTTATCGTATTCTCATAGGCGTTATATATCCGATAATCATCTTAAAAGATTTTGTCTTTTCTTATATCGAAATGTAGATACATACAAAAATAATGTATTTGAGATTAAGAAAGGGAGAAAGGAGGGGGTGGTTTATTTATATTCGAGAAAGAAAATATATATATATATATTGCTGTTAATTTGTGAAATTCGTTAATTCGTAAAATAAAGTAGAATTGCATACTATAGAATACTATAGAATTCCTCAATTAATTTGTCAATAAAATATGAATTTGAAATGAACGAGTGTTAATTAAAATATAAGATTGAAATTAAATTCCAAAATATAAGAAAACCAAATAATTTTCGTTTCAGTACTTGCTTATACACTACTACATACATACATTATTATAAAATCAAGGATAGAAAATATGTATACATTTTCATTTTATAGTCTTCCATGCGAGAATGATCTAATCTCGAGATAGAATTTCTCTATCGATTTAAACGATTAAATTAAATTTCCTTCGTAAAATCGTGAGAATAAAAAAATAAAATAAATCCATACGTATTAATCCGTTCTCATCTTTTTCCATACTTTCGGAAAACAAAATGTTTTATTAGTCTTGTTGATTCTATACAATCTAATAATTTAATTGTTCGCTCTTATTTTATGAATTCATATATAACTTCATTAATGCATGCAATTCTGCATTATTATTATTTCATAATTTAACAAAATAATATAATATATTAAAACGGTAACGTATAGAAATAATTATAAAAACGACAGAAATAAAAACAAATGAAATAACGTATTTGAGACGAAAAGAGAGAGAAAGATAGATAGATAGATAGATAGATAGATAGATAGAGAATAAAGTTGATCTTTCCAGAAGATCGATATTCTATCTGCAATATGCTCGAACGATTTCTCCTGAGACCAAAATGCTTTCTGTATATCCCACCCATGTTCGTTCCCTACACTAGCGTCCCTTCCCCCTTTTCCTCCCCCCTTCCTACACCCACTTACGTTTACTATGTTCTTACGTGTGCAAGCTAAAATCTCATCGGTCTCCTATTTTGCGACACGAAGACTATCGAAAACCTATGAAGGGGATTCGGTTGATTCGTAGGATGAGTTTACTATGTAGAAGTAATATATATATATATATATACATAGATAGAATTGTTAGTTGGATACTAACGCTTGGCAACCATTGCTGCTTTCGAAATTGACCGAACGAAAATCGTTTGATCCGTGTTCTTCCCCGTCCCTTTATCGTCTTCTTCTTTTTTTTCTTTTTTTTTTTCTTTTTAGTTTGCCATCCATTTAAAGTTTCCCCAGGCGATTATTTTTCTTGCAATTAACGTGAAAACCAATTTAATTGATTCTGTTTATATAGTCTGGGAGGAGAAAGAAGAGGAGGAGGTTGAAATAGTTTTATCATTGGACAGGGATAGTTTTAAAGGGTTTTTATTTAGGTCATTTCGTATTTTCTTTTTTTTTTTTTAATTTTAATTTTATTTGCAATTTAAAATGCTTTTTCTTTTTTTCTTTGTTTTTAAAATACGATTTGTAAAATAATTTAAAGAGTGAGGAAAGTTTTGTAGGCTAATAAAATCGATTTTATAAAGCCAGAAGAAGAAGAAGAAGAAGAAGACTGCGAGCTTGAAAAGTCTTCTTGAGGAAGGGTAAAAAAAAAAAAAAGTAATTGATATTTAAGATCACCGAAAAACTTATGTGAGTCCATGCCATCGATTTAATTTATAAGAAAAAAAATCTGATATCGCGTAACGTTTCAAAAGTTCATTTGTTATGGTTAAAAGGCATTAAAAAAAAAAAAAAAAAAAACGTATGATACGTTACGTTCGATAATTTTGACAATTTATGTCGTCGTTATCGTACCATTAACCGATACACAAAGTATACTGCGGCAGAATATAATCCGATTATAGAAATAAAGTTAGTGAGAGAGAGAGAGAGAGAGAGAAAAATATATATCTTGGGAAAACATTTTGGCATTATTCCTTCGGGAAGTAGCGAGGTCATGCGATAATTGAACAAATTTCAAACTAAATCTCAAGAAACACGAAGACCAGAGATAAAGAGAAGAAAGGAGAGATAGCGAGGTAGAGAGAGAGAGAGAGTGAGATGAGAATATGTTGCTATAATAATTATAGAACGTTAAAGGGAAAGATTGTTTTTCGCTTGATTGATTTTTCAAAGGAACATTTATAAAGGGTTTCCCATGCAAACGAATAACAAGGACGTAGATTCTTTGAAGGATAATTAGGTTCAATCGAGTTTTTGTATAATTACTAAGAACCTAAGGAGAACAATAATGATAAGAAAAATTAAATATACTGGGCTCTGATAAGTTAATAAAAAAAAACCTACTATATAAAATTACCCCTTCTGTGTGGTGGTCGCATTTAAAAAAAAAAAAGAAAAATATAAAATATTTTTAAATAATTGTCTATATATAGCATTTTTTAAGCGGACAAAATGGTTACAATTCGATTTTATTATTCTTGTCAAAATATCGAAGTGTGATACCACAATTTGTAAATTTGTTCAAGATCAATGCATCTTTTCTTCTTGTTTTCTTTTTTTTTTTTTTTAAATACAACCAGTAAGTAACGAACTATTTTAGATAGTACTTCTTATTGATTAGTTTTGTAAATATATTGTATGTAAATGTGATATCAAAGTGCATTTGTTTAATATGAAAAATAGAAAGAAAGAGAGAAATCGTAAAATATTTGGCATTGCGAACAATCTCTTCGAAATTCAAAAACTATGTAGTATATATATGTATATAAGTATTACATATATGTGGAATTGCACGTCTCGCAAGTAGCAAAAGACATAAAGCACTGTTGTCTTGCCAAGACAATAAATTAGATGTAAGTTGAAGTATTATGCATCCTGCCTTTACCTACTTACATATCTATATACTTAAGTATATACATTTCTATAGTTATGTATCTACCTATTCTTCTAAACCTAACTATGATCAAATTCGTGTTGTCGGTCGTTAGCACGAATACTACTTATCTTTTTCACATAAATAATAATATATAAAAATATAAAGATAAAAATAATATATTTTCATTTTATTTTTATCTCCTATTATACCGAATATATTGCATACATTTTTTTAGTTGTCGTTTTATTTCGATCGAAAATCATGTTCAAAGTCTTCTTACAAAACCGACATAAGCCGGCATAATTTCTCTCATACCTAACTGTAGATTTTTTTTTTTCTTCGTCTTTATTCTTCTCTCTCTCTCTCTCTCTCTCTCTCTCTCTCTCTCTATCTCTCTTTCTCTCTCTTTTTCTTTTTTGATCGTACGAGCTTATTCGCTGAGAAACAAGAAAGCCATTTAATGCAATGGAGTCGTAACTATGCAAAACTTCCTTTTCATTTTCCTTTCTCTACCCTTTTCCATCTGTACGCTAACGAACCGTTCCATTTGTATTTCCTTCAAACCCCAACCAACCGAACAATTCGCCTTTTGAACCCCCCCCACCCCCACTCCACCGCCCCCTTTCTTACCTTTCGCCTCCCTTTCTTAACAATTTTGTTCTTTATCTTTGATTTAATTCGTTTATAAAATTAAATGGGAAGAACGAGGGGGGCTTGGTGGTGATGGTGGTGGGAAGATGGAGGGCGGCGGGGGGGGGGAGGGAGAAACACGTTCCGCAAAGGATTCTTAATCGTCTGAATTGAGTAATTTTTTATGCCACTTTTAAGATATGTATTTATTCATTTTCATATAACACAGTTTTAAAGTTAAACTTTCTTATATATAGGAGGGGGTTAGGGTGTTTCTCTTATTTGAAATCTCTAACTGTTAACATGTAAATGTAGAATATAATTTCTGTCTCAAAAAAAAAAAAAAAAAAAAAAAAAAAAGAAAGAAACACCAAGAAATTTAAAGTTATTCAAATAATTTTGAAGATAACGATTAGAGAAAATATTTATTTTATCATAAGAGAGATTAAAATAAAGATTTTGCTTAAAGTAATAACATTTATTTTTTTGACACAGTTTTCCGAACATTTTCGAAAAAAATAAACTTAAAACATGTCAACCCACTCATGCATATATATATATATATATATTATAAATAAAAAATAGACTTAATAGCAATTTAATACACATTTCACATATAATATATGAAACAACATAATATTAATATAAAATGAAAATAATTATTTTAATGTACCTAAGTTGAAAATCGAAAATAAAGTTTCATAGGGTAATTATCGTTTGCGTGACCAACACAATAACGGATATATGATTTCTCTCCGGATACGGTATTGTGGTATTGTCCGGGTTACATACGTAGGAACGCGTGCCATATGCTTTCAATGATTGCGACCTAATTGTGATGGAGTATGTTCTTTGTGGTGGTAACGTATATGTGTGCGTGTATATGTCCAAGCACGCACGCACGCATGCACGCCTGCACTTCTTGCATTAATATCCACGACACCAACAACCAACGTTGGTTCGAGCTGGTATCGCTAGCGTACACATTGCTATGAATAAAAGATGGGCCGCATTTCGTATCGATTCTTTCGACGAGTACAGTCAACTTTTCGCACGATCCTCTTGTCTCTATACGAACATTGATATATTATATATATAAAATATTCAACTCCTTTTTCATATTTTCAATCATTTTTCTATTCCATAATTAGTCATAGATTATATCATTAATTAAGCTTATTGTTAAGTAAAAAGGAAGCATAGTAAAAAAAAAGTATAACAAGTTTGTTCTCTGAAAAGTCGTCGAGAAATTTTAATTTAAATTGTTCGCTTTTGAGAATAAGTAAGAAAAATAATATCAAACGGAAAAAAGAAAATTACAACGATTGCAAGTTAATCCCGGAGTTTAAATTTTCATTCATCCGGATTGAAATTCAAAGCCGCCATCCATCTTCCTTCTCTTTTTTATTTTTACTTTTAATTGCAGCCACCCGATCCACCCTGCACTCTCCCCCCTCCTCCCCCACCCCTTCGCCGATAATAATCGAAACTCGAAAGAATAATTTTGTTTATAATACATTATAATTAGAAAAAAAAAAAAAAAGAGCATTAAATATTCTTTATGTGACGCGTAAAACAAATAGAATATTCTTCGTGATTTTTCGCATTACGTGTAACCCCTACCAAACCACCACACCCACCCATCTACTCCAGTTTTGTAATTTTGGCACGATTGCTGAACTGGTTTCGTACATGTGTACCATTTGCATTGATTTTCATGCAACGTATGCACATATAGGTATATATATCTTCGCTCCGACGTAACGAAAAATGAACTCGACTGTGTATACTCTCGTATGAGAATCTGTCTGTTTCTCCCTCTCTCTCTCACTTTTTCTCTTTTTTACCCATTTTTTTTCTCTTTTTTATTTGTGTTCGAAAGCTTGGAAATCGGGTTACGCATAAACAGAAAGAGATAGGAGAAAATAAGTGAGAAACATATTCGTGTTTTCTGTCTCTCTGTCTCTCTCTCTCTCTCTCTCTCTCTCTCTCTCTCTCTCTCTCTCTCTCTCTCTCTCTCTCTTTCTCATACACACATACATATTTATTTGTAATTCATTCTTTCCGTGTCACGTCAACGTGTTGGCTCTTTTATTTTCTCTCTCTCTCTCTCTCTATTCTCCTTTTCTCTTTCACTCCCTCCTACTTTTTCTCTCACGCGTATATATATATATATATGTTTATCCCTTTTTTTTTTTATTTTACTTTCTCTCTTATGCCAACACAGCTCACTAGCTCGTGAGAAGTCATGTGGCTATCACGGGACATTTAATTCAAGCCCGCAATGTTTTGCGCAATTGCGCATTGCGGTGTGTGTGTGCATCTCTGCTCTCGAATTCCTCTTTCCTGTTTTCTTGCAATTGCAACTGTTGTTACCTACCTCTACCCCTACACCATCACATATTGCTATTAATGCTGCTGCTGCTACTGTTATAATAGTTACTGTTTTTTTTTATTTCAAACTGAAAATCATTCTTGAATATAAATATATTCTTGTGCCAAACACATACACACACAGAGAGGTGACCATTATTTCACATATTCTCTGTTATTGTATCTTTGTCTATCTCTTTGCATTTTATTATATATTATGTTTTTAAATTTTTGCAAAATATATAATTAATGCAATATATATTGCAAAATATATTATATATAAATTATATTTTTATAAAAAAAATTATATTATATATAAATTATGCAATAATAAATGTAAAATATATAATTTTTGTAAAGATATATAAAGAAGAAAAGAAAAAAAAAAACAAATCTAACAACACGACGAAATTCTTTGACGTTTGTCGTCTATCACATTTATTTTCGTCTAAGAAACTATCATCCACCTTAGCTAATGGTCTTAACGTGTATACAAAACTGTCTCGTATATCTAACAAACGAATTTATTATCATACTTTAAATGAGGTGCGT